CTCCCATCCAGACCCCCCCCTCCCGGATCATATTGGGGTCTCGGGATCGGCCGGCATTGGGGAAAGCCGGTCCTAATCGCCCCTCGGGATGAGTTCGGCCCAATCACCCCCTCTTGGCCCAGCCTACCTCGCAGAGTTGTTTTCCAGGGGAAATTTGCAGAATGGGTTTTAAGAGCCATTTGTCCAAAATGGTACAGGGTTTCCTGCCTGAGCAGGGGGTTGGACTAGATGACCTCCAAGGTCCCTTCCAACTTTATTATTATTATTATTATTATTATATTTCTAGATACAAGGCAAATTTCCCTGGAAAGCCTGGTGGGACACGAAGGTGAAATGCAGGCGAGGGGTGTGTAAATTAAAATACACATGCCAAACTCAAAACGAAGCAACATTACGGACCTCTTCACACAACATACGTGATCTTCCGGTTTGACACTCGTGCTTGTCAAACCCCTCACAAGCTCGCGCTAGCTTCACCTGCCTGAAAAGCAAAATTTTTGATTTCAAACTCACTTACACACTTACAAACCGTGGGGTTTGTCTCCTTTGGGGGCGGCCTGGCTTCTAAAAATGCAGGTATTTCCTTAGAGATCCTGGCTCCTTCTCCGATTTTGCCCCTTATCGTGTGTGCCCCCAATTTGTGTTAACCCACACACAAACACACACACACACCCTCTTTTTTGACCAAGAACCAAGATGCCATGTGCTTTGGGACTGCCGTGTCCATCACTCTTCTTTCACAAGCCCTGGGTCTTTTTTTCTCACTCCCAGCCCCCAACTGCCTGCACAGGAACCCACACAGAGACCCACACACACAGGTGTGCCGTCCTATCCTGTCGCACGCCCAGGTCAGATCGCGCAAACCTTGCATCCAGAGTCCCCAAGCCATTTCAACGAGCGAGCCCCTCGCCCCGTTACTCCTCCCAGGTGTGCACACCTGCCCTGCCCTCTGCCCCCCCAAACCTCTTTATGCTCCCCCCCTCTTTTAAAAGAGAATGTAAACCCCACAATAACGACAAAGCAGCTACACACTCACCTGGAGGGGGAAAAACAGGCTAAGAGGCTGTGTGGGTGAGTAATCAACGCTTGTGCACATTTAATGCTGTTTCACCATCTCCTAGACCCAGTCTGGGCTCCTAAGTCCTCCCTCCCCCCCCAAAATAAATCACACAGGAGCCCCCTTTCCAAAGAGCCCTGGGAAGGGGCAGTGGTGCCTAGGGGGTAGGGAGGGGCGGTGGGGAGAACTCAGGCACCCCCCTCCTTTGGGTGTACTCACTGGCTTCGGTTGCAGCAGCAGTGGGTTAGGATGGACGGTGGCTCTCGCTGGCTGGCCTCGGGCGGGGGAGCCTCCTTTATCTGCCTTCGCCCCCCCCTTTCCCCTTCAGCCGGGACTGTCTCACCCATCACCCCCAGCCTGGCCATCCCCCAGATCCAGCCCCACCGGTGTGGAGGCAAGAGCGAGGCGTTGTGGGTTAACTCTTTGGGTGACGCGAGCCAGGGATGACAAGGGGAAAATAAGCAGAAAGCCACACAACTCCACAACGGACAGCAGCATGGATTTCCTCAACCCCCCCCCAGGGGCTTTCTCACCCCCTTCCTCAATCAAAGGTGGGGGTTTTTTTGGGGGGGGGGAATAGGGAAGGAAGACTAGGAAAATAGCATCCTTGGTGGCAGGGGAATTTAGCAGGGAGAAAATGGGTGTTGGGCAAGGGATGCCCACAAGCCCTGGGGAGGATTGGTGGTCAGGCAGGGAACCCCCCAGGCAGGGGGGGCAAGCAGAGAGATGCCACAGGGGAGGGGGCTGAAAGGGGCCTGGGTCAGTCTCGGAGCCCCAGAAAGGCAGGCCGAATTTTGTTCCGGCTATTAGAAGTCGCCTCCCCCCCCCTTTTGCAAAAAATGAAGAGAAGGAAACAGGATCCATTCACACAACCCATTTCACTCCCTGTTGAGGAATGGACCTCTAAGTGAGTGGGATTTGCACAGAATGCAGAGGGGGGGAAGAGGGGGGGGGGAAAGGAGGGAAGAAAGGAAGGACAACAAAGGAAGAGAAAAAGAAGGAAGGAAGGAAGGAAGGGGAGGGGAAGGAAGAAAGGGAGGAAAGAAAGAAAAGAAAGAAAAAAGAAAGAAAAAGTAAACCTTTGGCTCCTTAAATGACTATTATTCAGCAGCCTCGTCATATTTACTGCCCTCAGTGTGGACTAGTGTCCTGTATAGGATTTTACTTTGATCCATTAACATATGGAGCAAACCCGTTTTACCCTCTGCAACCACACTGCACACAACAGCTGGACATGGGTGAATTGTAACCACAATTGAATTGTAGTTGAATGGTACCTTGGCTTGTATCTTGTATTTTGCAATAACCCAATTTTGCATTAACTGGGTTTGATATGCATTGGTTTTTTTTTTAACTGCTTAAGACTTTTTTGCTTGATTTTAATTATCCTTAAATATGAAAGAGACTAATGATTGCTTACCAGCTCGATAGAATTTAGACCGGCATATTGGCTTGGTAAAATAAAATTAAAAAAAATCTCTCTTTTTCTCTGAAGAAGTGGATCAGGCTTCAGCCAGGGAGCCCTCTGCATTTTCATTAATTCAGCAACATTCATCTGCATCTGAATAACATTGGCTCAAAATTAAAGAAACGGACAGGAAAACCCCAGATGTCAGATTTGTTTCTTCTCGCAGGCCTCAAATTCAAATGGCCTACCGCGCAGGGTTGTTTGCCGAAATCAACGAGGTAATTCCCAATTTTGTATCGTTATAGTGATGGACGGACTGGCGGTCCTCAAGAACCGCCTGGAGAAAATCTTTTGATGGGGTTGCTAAGAGATGTGGAGGACTTGATGACACACGTACCTGATCGATCAATCAATTAATCGGGCATCAATCAAAGATGGGAAGCAATTTGCGTGGTTCTGAAGTTTTTTAAAAAAAGGCAGGCCAAAGAAGAATTCCCCAAATCAGGTTTGTTCCAACAGATCCAGACCGTGAATTATCCCGCCCCCAGAGACCCCCAAACTTCGGGGGGTACAAATTCCGTGTCCCCAATCAGAGTTCCCCAAAGGCCTGTTGAAAGCTTTGATTCCATCCAGATTCTCAAGGCCAAGCAAAAGGTGATGACTGAATTGCCTCTAAATGGATTATATAAATCTTCTCCGTCTTTATTTCAGAACGGTTTCTCAATGCGCTAGGATTCCATGTTACAATTTAGCTGGATCAGAGTTACTCAACCTTGGTAGCTTTCGGATGTCTGGACTTCATCTCCCAGAATTCCCCAGTCAACATGTTTTAAGATGGGTGGGCTTCAACTCCCGGAATTTACCAGGAGACGGCGAGTTCTAGTCCCGCCTTAGGCATGAAAGCCGGCTGGGTGTCTTTGGGCCAATCACCAGGAGACGGTGAGTTCTAGTCCCGCCTTAGGCATGAAAGCTCACTAGGTGTCTTTGGGCCAATCACCAGGAGACGGTGAATTCTAGTCCCGCCTTGGGCATGAAAGCTCACTAGGTGTCTTTGGGCCAATCACCAGGAGACGGTGAATTCTAGTCCCGCCTTGGGCATGAAAGCTCACTAGGTGTCTTTGGGCCAATCACCAGGAGACGGCGAGTTCTAGTCCCTCCTTAGGCATGAAAGCCAGCTGGGTGACTTTGGGCCAGTCACCAGGACACAGTGAGTTCTAGTCCCGCCTTAGGCATGAAAAATGGCTGAGTGACTTTGGGCCAGTCACCAGGACACAGTGAGTTCTAGTCCCGCCTTAGGCATGAAAGCTCACTAGGTGTCTTTGGGCCAATCACCAGGAGACGGTGAGTTCTAGTCCCGCCTTAGGCAGGAAAAGTGGCTGGGTGACTCTGGGCCAATCACCAGGAGACGGTGAGTTCTAGTCCCGCCTTAAGTAGGAAAAGTGGCTGGGTGACTCTGGGCCAATCACCAGGAGACGGTGAGTTCTAGTCCCGCCTTAGGCATGAAAAATGGCTGAGTGACTTTGGGCCAATCATCAGGAGACAGTGAGTTCTAGTCCCGCCTTAGGCATGAAAGCCAGCTGGGTGACTTTGGGCCAATCACCAGGAGACGGCGAGTTCTAGTCCCGCCTTAGGCATGAAAAGTGGCTGAGTGATTTTGAGGAAGGTGTGTTGGATACGTCCACCATTTGAGTTCTTTGTAAAAATAATAAAGGTGGGAATACTGAAGACCATGAAAAATGGTGGGATAAAAACCTAAAAACAAAAAAAAGCACTACCTGTACCGCTTTGAGCTCGGAAAGAACGGTCCGATCACGAATAATCAATAAATAAAACCGATTTCAACATTCCTAAAGGAAGCATTTTTTTTTTAAAAAAAAAAACATCCTTTATCTAAAATTTCACCCGCAGGACGGCCGAATCCCAGGAAAGAAAGAAAGAAAGAAAAGGAAGGGGTGGTGGTGGTGTAAAAAAAGTGGCCACGCATCCTGTCGCTAACACAAAAATCCGTTTATTGGAAGGGGAGGGGCAAGCGATGATATAGCACCAAGAACGGCAAAGTGGTTAGCGGAGGAACACAGAAGCTTATTCCGAATCCTACGGCTTTGTGGGGAAGAAGGGAGGGGAGGAGAAAGAGGGAGGGAGGGAGAGAAAGAGAGTGCCCCTCTACCCATTTCACAGAATCCGTCTCAACAACATCGAAGATAAAACCAGTCCCCCCCCCCTCCCGAGTCAATTAAAGTGCTAGTGTTCTCAAATAGACTATGGGTTAAATATCTAGGGAATATTTAAGTAGGAACGGGGAGGTTTGAGGTTCCAGCAAAATAACCAGCCAGCTCCGGAATTAAAAGGATGGAGCTGAAGGTTTTCGGGCTAAAATTCAGGGAAGAGGAGGGTGGGATAAGGGGAGGGGGATCTAAATACCCTGTTCGCATGCCGGTCGTCTTCCCCCACCCGTCCGCACTCATTTATACACACAGGAAACCTTCAGCAGCAGCAAATGTGTGTGTGTGTGTGGGGGGGTCTTCCTCCGTCCAGCATCCATGTCTCAGTTCTGCGGGGTGGAGTAAAGGCTATGGTGGTGGCTGCCGGAGACCGCAGCCTGTGAGAACAGGAGGGGGGCGGTGGGTGGGTGGCCCCCGAACCAGTCGTGCTCCCCGCTACGATTGATCGAGCCGTAGTAGCTCCCGTTGCTGGATCGCCCGGTCAGGCTGGAAAAGGAGGACAGGAAAACAAGCAGGTGGGAATTATACAACTGGACCTCCGAGCAGTTTTTCCTTCTCCCTCCTCGCTCCTCTTTCCTCGTGTGTCGTTTATGTCTCTTCTTCTTCTTCTTCTTCTTTTCCCCCCCTTTTTTTCTTTTTGTAAGTGTGTGCGTTACTGGAAGGTTTTTGCTGGATATTTTGAAGGATTAAAAAAGAGGGTTTTACCTGCTGGTCAGTCCTTCGTTTTCACGCTGCCCAGGATAGTCGAAGAAATAAGAACGGGAGACCCCAAGCTGCCGATGGAAGACACGGCTGGCACTCTGCGACAAGAGAAAAGACAATTAAAATGAATAGAATAGAATAGAAGAAAAGAGAAGAGAAGAGAAAATAGAAGAGAAGAGAAGAGGAGGAGAGGAGAGGAGAAGAAAGAACAGAAGAGAAGAGAATTAGAATGTAGAATGGAGTGGAGTGGAGTAAAATAGAATAGAATAGAGCTGGAGTAGGAGAAAGTCGTTTAATTGAGCCTTCATGCATGGACCTGGCCTTTTGAACCTGATGGTCGACATCCAGCTCAAGAATCCAAATCAAACTCCCGGTCCATTCCGTTTCCGAGAATCTTAACTGTTTATTGAATACACTGCACGGTAATCTCGAGGCAAAACTAACTCTGAGGTTCCCAAACACCAGCCAGAGTCTCAACCTCTTACGTAGCCCATGTAAACAAGATCACTTTGTTATGGGAACCGTCCGCTTCAATTCCACACCTGTTATGGTGTCCTTGAAAAGATCTCAGGCTCTCAGTGGCATTGTAGAAGTTTTGCTTCTCCATCTAGCCCACTTGAAAGTAACGCCTCCCTCCCCTTTACTCTTAAAGGCAAGTTGAAACGCAGAGGCACGTAGCTGCCCAAGTTTCGGCCTTGACACGGATATTTGAGACTGATCCTCTCCGAACATCCCACTCACCGTATCCTGCGCCGGCCGATGCACCCGGAAAAAGCCCACCAGCAGCGTGGTGGGCAGTAACTCCCAAACGAAGAGGATGAGCCCAAAGACGATGTAACCTTGATCCCCGAGATCTGTTATTAGGTCAGCCTGGAAGGGGGGGGGAGAAAGAGACTGGGAGGTAAAAGCCCACCCCTTTACTCCCAAATCTTTACAGGAAGTCCCCGACTTAAGACAGGCCCTTCAGCAAACATTCAAAGTTACGACGCACCACCCTGAGGATTACTCGGGCCCACGTTGACAGCTGTTTGCGGTGGCCCACAGTCAAAATATCATCAAACAGAGTTGGTCGTGTGGGGGACCCGCTTTACGGCCACGATGGTCTATAGATGGCTACAAAGTAGGCCAGCCAATCAGCTTTGTCAGAGTTGGATAGTACTTGAGTATTACTCTTTTCGGAGCCTGGGGCAAACCGCCCCACGCTCCCTTGTTCAAGGGAGGGGAGGATGGGAACTGGAGTCGAAGACGCTGGAGATTCCCCGCCCCAGCTGCTCTCCAGCCACCACCGTCCCCGAGGATTCACCTGGTCGGAGACGTTGTACCAGTCGTAATCGAAGGAGTCTAGCCGGGTGCGGGAGGAGAGCGCCAAGGCAGCCAGGTTGTAGCAGGCGCGGCTGGCGTAGAGCAGGACGATTGTGCCTCCCATGGCCGCCGTCTGGCATAGGGTGGTGCCCTGTTTGGGAAAGAGGCGATTAATCTGCAGGTGGGCTACTGGGAGATTAAAACCCGAGGCCGGTTTGGCACATCCTCATACATCTTTCTTATGGTGCTCAAGCAGCACGAGAAAAGCAGGTGAACCGTGAATAATTTTACAGGCTAAATAAAATCCAAAATACACAAACTTTATATCTATCTATATTATCTATCTATCTATCTATCTATCTATCTATCTATCTATCTATCTATCTATCTATCTATCTATCATCTATCTATCATCTAACTATATCTATATATATATATACACACACATTCTCTCTCTCTCTCTCTCTCTCTCTCACACACACACACACACACACACGTGAAAACAAAAATAAAAAAAAACTTTAAAGGGGATAAATATGTTCACTGATAGGTTGATAGACTGCTAGATGGAACGTGCCACCAACACTGACTGTATATAAGTAGACAGCAAGCCCCACTCCCTTCTAGCACTGACGATATAATCTAGCTGGGTCATGAGACGTCTGCAAGAAAACCACCCAGCTCAGAGAGCACCAAGGACCCACAGTCCTCCTCCTCCTCCTCCTCCTCTCCACAAACCCCCCTCCCTTCTAGCACTGATGATGTTACCTAGCTGGGTCATGAGACGTCTGCAAGAAAACCACCCAGCTCAGAGAGCACCAAGGACCCCACAATCATCTTCCTCTCCTCCTCTCCACAAACACCCCTCCCTTCTAGTACTGATGACGTTACCTAGCTGGGTCATGAGACGTTTGCAAGAAAACCACCCAGCTCAGAGAGCCCCCCCAGGACCCCACATACTTATATCAACATTCTGCATTGTGCAGCCACGAGAAGGCGCACCTTGGCTTCCAGGTAGATGCGTGTTGAGGGAGAGCCACGGGCCACGAGGAAGAGGCAGAGGGCGAGGGAGACAGCTCCCAGCACAAAGAGCGAGTCGCTGATGAGAACGCGTGCCAGGACCACCGCCCAGGGTTCCGCCTGGCGTGCCCGCACCAGCACGGCGCACGCCACGTTCACCGCCAGGAAGAGGACGCTGGCCCCGAAGCACACCCCTCGCACCAGCAACCTGGGGAGGGGGGAAAAAACCCACCCTGAGAAGCGAGACCCTCAAGATCCCAACACTATTTCTTCGGGACCAACAAAACCTGGGGCTGTTCCTTCCCACCCAGCGACCTCTCCTTTCAAAGAGCGACTTTGCCCTGAGGCTGCAACATTTCAGATACAGGGAAGAAGTCCCCGACTTACGGCCGCAACCGAGTCCAAAATTTCGGCTGCTAAGCCAGACAGTTGTGAAGTGGGTTTTGTCCCGTTTTACGACCTTTCTTGCCGCAGTAGCTAAGTGAATCACTGCAGTTAAGGTAGCAACACGGTCGTTGAGTGAAACCGGCTTCCCCCATTGACTCGGCTTGTCGGAAGGTCGCAAAACGGGATCCCGGGACCCGAGAGAGAGAGGTTGTGACCGTCGTAAATACGAGCCGGTCGCCAAGCGCCCGGATTTGGATCACGTGACCCACAGGGATGCCGCAACGGTCGTAAGTGTGAAAAACGGTCCTAAGTCACATTTTTCTCAGTGCCGTTCAGAACTTTGAACAGTCACTAAACCAGGGGTAGGCAACCTTGGCTCTTTTATGACTGGTGGACTTCAACTCCCAGAATTCCTGAGCCAGCATGGGGGAAAGTTTGGCCCCCTCATGACTTGTGGACTTCAACTCCCAGAATTCCTGGGCCAGCATGGCTCAGCTTGGAAACCTCTCCCTTTCCCCTCAGCATGGCTGGCTCAGGAATTCTGGGAGTTGAAGTCCACGAGTCATAAAAGAGCCGAGGTTGCCTACCCCTGCACTAAACGAACAGTTGTAAATCGAGGACTGCCTGTAATTTTGTGCGAGAAATCCCACTAAGCCACAGACCGCTGGAGAAATAGGGATTACTCACAGGCCTTTGATCAATTCAGGACGATACTTCGCTTTGGCTTTGAAAACCACCTGAAAAGGAGCAGAAAATTGACATCATCATCATCATCATCATCATCATTATTTCAGCGGCCCGGTTCCATTGTTTTGATGGACAGGCGCGGCCCGCATTGGCTAGAAATGGGAGTAACAATTAAACATTGCATCAGAAGCCGTAAACAGGCTCGGCTTGCTTTGCTCCAGCCTCCAAACGTTAAGACTGCATTTCCCATCATCCCACCCCACCCCCGTGGCTGGGAATGATGGGAGCTAGGGAAAGGAGAAGGCTTGGGCTGGGGGAAATCCTAGCTTGCTATGGTAAATGAGGGGAGGGAACCAATTTACTGCCCAAGCCACTGAATGACCTTGAAAGTGGCTCCTTGGGGACTGTCTAATGCACAGCGCAGAGATGCATCAATGCTATTATTAGGTTAAGAAAAGTTGGGCTTCAAAGCACAATTCTGCTAAAGCAGAACAATTTTGCACGCACACACACACACACACACTCTCTCTCTCTCTCTCTTTCTCTCCCTTTATCTGGTTTGGACTGCCTCCTCTTGACCACATACGTATTAGCAAGACGTACCCCACATATACCAGAAATGCTAAGGTACGGTAATAAGAGTTGCTACTCAGCTACAATTAGGAAACTCAGGTTTTGCACCCTCTTTTCAGCCACAAAGCAACAGGACAATTTCCACACGTTGCTGCCACCGGTATCCACAGGATATACAAACCAAGGCAGGGGAAAAATAAATTGCAACCCGTGCCAAGCATTTTTAAGCCACTAGCTACTCTGCTATCGTAATTTACCGATAAGGCTTCCTGTGGTTTTGATATGGTCATGAGTTCATTAGTTTTGTCCTTTTTCGAAATACAGAGGTGCTAATGTTGCAAAACGTTAATGCACTATTGGGGGGAGGGTTCCCCCCCCCCCCGTGGTTTTAAAAAAATTGCATCCTGGATGGAAAGGAAGCTAATCCTGTTACTTTTAATCCTCCGCTAAATCTGAGCCCCGTTATAGACCTTTGCTGTGAATTGGGATAAACTATCAACATGTTGGATTAAAAATACTCAGGATTCTTATCTTTATTTTGATCTTCTTATCTAAATGAATAGAAAACATCCAATTAAAGAAAATTGGTCTCATCTACAGAAAGAACCAGCCTATCAAGATACATGCCGGCGGGGGGAATTCTGGGAGTTTTAAGTCCACAGACTTTAAAGGGCCCAAGGTTGAGAAACGCTGATTTGACGGAAGACAATAAGTCAAAATAAAATAGATATTTAAGGTCTCCTTAAGCCAAAACATACACAAAGCAGATAGAACCAAGTTGTCATTTGTGACAGATCGGTCTTTGATGCCAATCGAGCTAGCCTCTTTACGACGGGTCCTTGGTGCTCTCTGAGCTTGGCTGTTTTCTTGCAGATGTTTCATAACCCCAACTAGGTGAAATCATCACAGCCCTGATGATGTTACCTAGTTGGGTCATGAAACGTCTGCAAGAAAACCACCCAGCTCAGAGAGTAACATGGACCCCCCCCCCGTCTTCCTCCTCCTCTCCACAAACCCCACACCCTTCTAGCACTGATGAGGTTACCTAGTTGGGTCAAGAAATGTCTGCAAGAAAACCACCCAGCTCAAAGAGCACCAAGGACCCCCCAGTCCTCCTCCTCCATTCTGCAAACCCCACACCCTTCTAACACTGATGATGTTACCCAGTTGGGTCATGAAACGTCTGCAAGAAAACCACCCAGCTCAGAGAGCACCAAGTAGCCCTCATTTCAGCCCTGACTGAATATTCTTTCTTGGTTTCCTCTTTACCCAGAAGTCCCCAGCTGCCATGTGGCGAGTTCAGCATTTACCCAGAAGTCCTAGAGACCATGGCTTCCATCTTGGCATTTGCCCACAACCCCAGCACTGCATTTACCTGGGCAAAATAGAGATTCATGAGGGTCAAGGTGAAGAACTGGAGGCAGACAGGGCAGCAATACAGCAGCCAGAAGAAGAAGGGGTGCAAGCGGTTGGCCTTGAGGGTGTTCCGGAAGTAGAAGGAGAAGAGGGTGGTGCGCAGGGCGGCCCAGAAGAGGCAGAGGAAGAGGAAGACAGTCTGGTAGCTGAACTTTTTGTGGCGGTAGAGGAGCACCAGCCAGAGCTGGGCGTAGACCGAGAAGAAAAGCAAGGCGTACAAGGCCGTGTAGAGGGTCGTCAGGCCCACCTTGACGGCGGGCGGGAAGGCCGGCGTGAGCCGCGAGGCTGGCACGATGGCGCTCAGATTGCTCACAGCCTTCTCCATCTTCGCCAGCTAGGAAGCCATCATCCCCCCAGACTGCGGAGAGAGGGGGACGGGGGGTCGCGCCACCACCACCGCGGCCCTCTCTCTTGGCCAGAGCAGCTGCCCCCGCACGGAGAGGGCGTTACATCCTTTGGGGAGGTGGGGGGCTGGACCCTCCGGGGGGCAAAATCAAAGGGGGCCTGCCCGTTCCATGGGAGAGACTGGCTGGAGGGGTGGGGGGGCAGCTGCGNCCCCCCCCCGGACACCTGGGTCCCTTGTCGCCTCCCCAGATACCTGGGTCCCTTAACCCTCCCCTGCTCTCTCGGGCCCCCGAGTCCCCGGGCTGCCTCTCTGGCCCCACTGCCTCAAATCTGGGGTGGGGGGGAGAGAAGACGCCCCCTCCCCACAAGTCCAGGGCAGCCGCAAGCGCGCGACCTCCCAGTTGCTGCCAGCTGCGCCAAGTGCGCTCGCCCCGCCCCCTTTCCTGGCCGCACCGGCTCGGCGTGCCGGAAATGACGTTTAGCGTCTCGTTCGAGTTGCGCCAAGGGCGTAGAGCGCGTTTCTGAATGGCAAAAGACCGGGGAGCGGGGAGCCTGACTCTTAGAGCGGCGGCGCTCTTTCCGCTCCGCCATCTTAACGACGGGCATTTGTGCTCGCTTAGTAATGGGAAAGGGGAGGGGGAGAAAAATCCACAGCCCGGAAGTGCTTGGTGCTAAAGGTTCCCCTCCCCTCGGTTCCGTTCTCTGCTTCCGAGTGCAACTCTTTTCTCTGGCTCCTTCGTTCCGTTACATTCGTTTTACACTTATATATTCATACGTTCCTGCTTGTACAGTTTAACAGACAAAAATGAAGAATAATGGACTCTGCGGATGCAAGAGCTCTGGGTCGGAGTCGGGCGGGGTCTAAATCGAATAAAGTAATTATTAATTTGGCAACAGCCTGACCTCCAGCTGTGGAGGTTAGGCTGTTGCCAATTAATTTGGCAACAGCCTGACCTCCAGCTGTGTAATGCTTAGAATTAAGGCAAGCCAGTGTTTTAATATAAGCCGTGTGGACTGCAACTCCCAGAATTCCCCAGCCAGCAATGAGTAATGCTGGTTGGGGAATGCTGGGAATTGTAGTCCACACAGCTTAAAGTTGCCAAAGCCGAGATGCAGCAAAACCAAAGCGTCCTTTTAACACTTACAAATTGTGATATAAAATATTATGGGACCCAAGAGCCAAAAGGAAGCCTACCCAGAGTTTTTATGCTCTTTTAAAAAAAAAGACAAGAGGCAAATGTAGCCACAGAGGGAAGGAAGGCAGAAAGAAAGAGGAAGGGGAGGCGACTGAAGAATGGAGGAGGGGGGAAAGGGAAGAAGAAGGAGAAGCAAAAGGGAGGGAGGGAGGGAGGAAAAGAAGCGGGGGAGGAAGGCAAGAAAAAGAATGGGATGGGAAGAGAAGGGAAGGGAGAGAGAGAAAGAAAGAGAAAGGAAGGAAGGGAAAGAAGGAGAGGAGGGCGAGGAGGGAAGGGACAAAGGGAAGAAGAGGAAAGAAAATGAGAAAAAGAGGGAGAGGAAGGAAGGAAGGAGAGGGAAGGAAAGTAGAAGAAGATGGGAGGAAGCAGGAGGAGGAAAAGGAAGGAAGGAGAGGGGAAGAGGAGAAAAAAAAGGGAAAAAAGGAAAGAAGGCAAAACTGTAATGGCAAACGCCCCCTCCCTCCTGGGGAAAGAGGACTGAGGGGGGCGGAGCCAGGCCAAAGACCGCGCGGGGGGGGTGTTGCTTTGATGTGCCCAAGAGGGCGGAGCCTCCCCCACTTCTCCGCCCCCTCTGACGTGGCCACCCCTGATTGGGCCCCGCCGGTGGCAGTTCTTTATCGCCTTGGCGACTACGGCTGGCTCTCCGCTCGCGGTAAACAGGAGGAAGGGCGCTCAGGCAGCGCTCCGTCCGCAGGTAGCCGCATCGGGCAGCCCCGGGGAAGGCGGGGGGGGGGG